CAATATTCCTCTGTCGAAGATGGCCGGTCGGTGTGAGCTACGAAATAAGGAAATTCGAGTTCAAAATCAAATCGTTCGATTTTTGTGGCAGACGTTCGACGCGCGTCTTTCATGCATCTCGCGAGATCTCGCAATTGTACGGAAAATCACCTATTAAACACAGTGGAATGTGCCGTGTGAACACAATACGACGGCCAAACGCCCTCTATCGCCGACTATATTTTGACATTACTTGCTTGACACATGGAAGGTACTAACGTTAGTACTTTCCATGCTTGACATTACACAAGATGGCATCAGAGGTCACAAGTCGAATGTCGAACTGTTCAGACGAAGAAACTGATATCTGTTTGGAGAGAATCCTATTTCTTCTCACCAGTTATTTCCGCGTTGTCGAGTCAAAATCGCTCGGTTGCTGGGTCTATCCTCAGGGGCGGAGCTACGTCACGGACTTTCTACGTTGCTAAGACGCGCACCACTGTACCACGTATTTCTATGGGCTCTGTGCGCGCTACTGTGGAACGCCGGTGGAGCCGGTGAAAACTCGAGAAAACAACACAAACTCAACTTTGAAGTAATCCTGAACAACCAAATTCATATATGTTACACACGTAGGGCTAATCTTGTTACACTGTTCAGGGGACTCTCAACAACCATCGCAAAGTACCGTTTTCTGCGAGTTTTTGGTCTTTGTTTTCACCGCGAGGGTTGCCAGGCGGTAGAAAATGCCCGGATGTCCGCCCCCCCCCCCCCCGAGGATCGGGAAAGTCACTTAAACCTTACAGTCAAATAGACGCACACAACAAAATACGTTTCAACTCTCGTCTTAGTCGGCCAGTCGAGCACTCTATAAAACACAGCGCCCTGGGGAAAAGTCCCCAAGACTATCGCAAGGCTGACCCAAGACTAGCCAAAGACTGCCTCTAGACTCTCCGAGACTGCGTATGTTGTGGTGTACTCGCCATGACCAACTAAAACTACTTTATTCACTTTCAAAACCTTAACCAATTACAAAGCAGTTAAAAGACTCTAACATTCAACCAATCACACTAAGTACTGAACACGTCATATCTGTTGATTAATCGTTCACTATATTAGTAACTGCGAATACCAACTGTCAGAAATAGTAGTCCGAATAGCGACGGTTATCTCGTAATTAGTTCCAAATCACTGAGTCGAGTTCCGTCCAGCACCTCACATGAGCCTAAATGATGACAGATATAACACAGCCATTCGCTAGTAATCAGCTAAATAAGTCGATCAACAGATACACGCGAATAAATTCATCACAGGACCATGGAACTATAAACCACCTAGTTCCATGATCGGACCATCATGAAGCTCCATGATCGGCATTTTCCGTACTGGCTATTCGGAAAACGACAACTAATGTATATACGGGAATTATTCTTTATGATGACTAAAACCATACTATTTTCAACCACATTCTTAGAGAAAAAGAACATACTTTCAAACAAGCAATTCGGATTCCGAAAAGATCGACGCACAACAGACAATATCTTCATTCTTAAGACAATAATTAACAAATATCTTTATCATAGTAGCACTTTCAATAACAAAGAAAATATTAAAATACAAAAAAATAATAGTAAAAATACAAATAAAATATATGCATGCTTTGTTGACCTAAAAAAGGCCTTCGACAGTGTCTGGCATCAGGGGTTGTATATTAAATTGTTAAAACTTGGAATATCGGGCAAAATCTATAAAATTATCAAAAATATGTATACTGAGGTAAAATATAAAGTTAAGAGCGAAGAAGGATTAACTGAACACTTCACTTCAAGGGTGGGAGTAAAACAGGGCTGTAACTTAAGCCCAACCCTATTCAATATTTTCATAAACGATTTACGATTTCATAACACGGAAAAAACAAAAACTATGATCTTTAACAGATCAAACAGACTTCTAGAGAATGAAATTTTCTTCTTTGAAGGTTGTGAGTTAATTATTGTAAAATCAACTAATTACCTAGGATTATTAGTAAGAGCTGATGGGAAATTCAAGGAAGGCCTAAAAAGCATAAAAAGAAAAGCTTTAAAGGCCTTATTTTCTTTAAAGGGGAAAACAGGCAAAATCTAAGTATACCACTGTCACTCTCTCTGTTTGATAAACTAATCAGACCAATTCTCACATATGGTAGTGATGTATGGGGAGATGAAATTTCACTAAAATCACCAATTGAAGATGCGCATATAAATTATCTTCGTTTTCTTTTGGGTACATCCAAAAACACTACAACAATGGGTTTATACAGCGAACTTGGACGTTACCCATTGGAGACTTTTATCGAAAAACAAATGATAAAATATTTTAATCGTATAAAGAACTCGTCAAATCCATTACTAAAACTAGCTTTCCAAGAAAATAAAGAAATTAATAGTAAATGGTACACCAATATAGATTCCCTTTTGAATAACATCAACCAGTCTAACCTGGTCGACAGCGATGAAATTTTAACAGCAAGGCAATTAGGGCAAATTAACAAAAATATACAAACATCATTCATATCAACTTAGAAAAGTAAATTACATAATGACAATTTTAACGGCAAGGCAATTAGGGCAAATTAACAAAAATATACAAAAATCATTCAAATCAACTTAGAAAAGTGAATTACAAAATGACAATCGATCAAAACAAAATGAAAAAATTAAATTAAGAACATACAGAGAATTAAAAAACAATTTTGCTTTTGAAACCTACCTTGTTACCCTGAAAAATATTGAGATGCGCGAAAATTTAAATAATTCCGCCTCAGTGACCATAACTTGAAAATTGAGACTGGCAGACACAAAGGAATACCCTTTGCTAATAGATTATGCAACCTTTGTGATCAAAATGAAGTAGAAGATGAGTATCACCTCATGATGTCATGTAAAAGTTATACCCCCGAAAGAAATGTCCTATTCGAAATGGCAAAAACCAAAATCAAAAACTTTAAAAATTTGCCACCAGACACAATTCATAGCCTTGCTAAACAACAGTGGCCTAACACTCTCCGTAGCAAGGTACCTAAAGAAGTGTTTTGAAATAAGACAGCAACCCCAGTGACAACCTTCTTTCACAATTTAAGTTTTGCATTTTGTTTTCTATCTATCGTAGTATCATAATTTTATATTTGCTATTCTCAGTAATGTATTAGCTTAGTTTGTTTTATTTTATCTATTTACTTTTTTGTAACCTTTGTAACCTTTTATTCCTTCTTAAACTTTTGTAACCATTGCTAATCCCTCCGGGGAATGTGTAAGTGTTAATACAATTATTATTATTCAACATTAGTGTTTGTTAGTTGGGTAAATCAGTGTTCTAAAGTTGTTGTTCCGAAATTTACGAACTGTCTGAAAATCACCCTGGATCATATCCCAGATGATGACCTCTCAAAAAATAATTACGGTTTTTGTTCCAATAATTCAGTCACTCTCAAAGATAATGTTTGTTTTCATGGTTTCGTGACCTTAGAATTTAACCGTTGAAAGCCTATACTAAGTGTAATATGATTGAGTGTAATATGAGGTTATTACGAAGATACATCAAAGCACAGTCACTTGGGGGCTGAAAATCAATAAATACTAATTTTTTTTTTTTAAATCATCCGCTATACGTATATAAATAAACAAGTTGTGAAACACGGCACCTAGCAAATCGACACCCTGTCGGTTTCAAATGTCGATTTCTTTCCTTAAAATGCGAAACAAAAAGTGCAGAGGGGGTCAGGTGTTACGTTAATAACCATTGTTCATAATCGCTAACTTGGTTTTATTCAAAACTGCACAAATCCCGCGTGCAGTACATATGTTTTGATTAAAGGGCGGTAGTCGTCGTGCCGCGCCCTGTTCGATATGGGACTCATAGCGACGTATACAACGCGTGTAAAATACATTGTTTATTTACATGAAATTCGAACACGCGCTGCCCGACGACCACCGCGCTTTAAACTTGCAGCTGGTAAATCAAGAATGAAAAAAAGGGTTTATATCGGCTGCACTAGCTTCCACTATTTGACAGTCTACCTCCGGCATAAACTCAAGAATCCGC